CTTTAACTTCCGTCAATAAAATTAATTGGTTCCTTTTTGTCATATCATTTTTATCTTCATCTATTCTTTTTAAACGGCTTAAATCCGCGCGCGTATTTTGCAACTGCTTATGATCGGTCGTGCTATCGCTTTTTCTGGATGAACTAACATGGTGAAAGAAGACATTTATTCAGAATTGTGATGTGATATCACTTTAGTTCTGCAGCACGTAACCGTTGTGAGATTGTTGCTTTGCCCAGCACACTTTCAAATGTAAGATCTTTATGTCAAACAAAACAATTATAGCATAGCTCTCAGAACAAAGAAAAAGTCTCTTGGTGCTCATCACCCTGTGATCGCTCTTGGAACTTCGAGGACTCCAGGAACAATTTTCCTTTTACTTTATCGTCCCATGAATGCGCAAGAAGATTACATGAGAGCTGGGTTGGGATCACATTTATGCGCACCTAATAAATTGTTTACATTTGTAGCTTTTGGTTGAATAACTTGATGAAAACTACGAAATTATTCTTAAAGCGAAGTTCAACTAGGTGAAGTTGGGCGCGATTGTCAGCAATCTTAGGAATCTTTTCTGAAATATGAACAAACCAATTGATTTCAATGTCCATCTGGGAACACCAAAATTCAAATACGCTCAGTCATTAACTCGGAACTCAAAAGCAGTGGCCAGTTCCGGTTGTGTTTCATGTAACCAAGAGTTCTTAAAGCTAATAATTAACATAATTACCCAGTTATGTTTAAAAATAAGCAACAATTTTAGCAGCGCACTAATTGAACCATCAAATGAGGCTATTCATTTGATGGTTTTCTTTCATTCGATGAAAATGTTGGGCGAAATTGCCCAAAGTAGGCAACAAACTGGTTCCGTAAACTTCTCTGAAGGAGAGACAGGCTCTATGACGAAATATTTTTTGTCTATATTTGTTCTCACCATCCGCTGTTGAGGGAAGTGGTTTCTCTGTTTTGTACGACACCATACAAAACCAGTCATACCTACGTTTGCGCACAATAATGTTATTTATAAATACCTGTTCAAAAATTTTCCAAAGCAATTTACTCTTATCACCACATAAGTGTTTTTTTAAGCTGGCAATTGTTTTCAAAACAGCATAAATCCCTTTCAGGATGTCGCGAATGCAGCATGGGTAATTATTATTGATAGCATTGGACCGGAAGTACATGACCATTTTCCATCAAAGCGTCGAGTCACAGCAGAGTGGAAAATAGTGGACACAATTTGCCCACCAGGACCTCCAGGACCACCAGGTAGACCTGGATTACCCGGACTGTATGGCCAGCATGGTCGGCCTGGAGCTGTGGGATTGCATGGTATTGGCATGATCGAACATATATCAATCTCCTGTATTCGATGTCCACGAGGACCATATGGACCACCTGGGAAAAATGGTTCAATAGGATTGCCGGGAATCAATGGATGGGATGGTGTAGCAGGTGATCCTGGCCGAAGTGGACCACCGGGTTTGCCAGGTTTGGAAGGAGATCCCGGAGAAAAAGGACTTGACGGGCAACGCGGATGGCCTGGATACCCTGGACGAAATGCAGTTACTGGACGAAGTAACCGAGGACCACAAGGGCCCGAAGGTTTAAGTGGCGAGCGTGGAGAGCCTGGAGTCCATGGTGACCACGGTGCCATTGGTCGACCTGGAGCCACAGGGCTAGTAGGATATCACGGGAAACAAGGCATGCCTGGTGTAGATGGGACCCCTGGGATACGAGGACAACCTGGAGCTCCGGGTGAA